TTCTCGCGGCAGCACTGGGCAGCGGGACCGTGTACCTCGACGGTAGGAAGGTCTGGTGGTCAGGAGTCGAAAAGAAGCGTTTCGAAGGAGAAACGGGTCGAAACAACGAGGAATCGCAGACGTCTTGCTACAGGCGGGATTCGTCACCGATTACTGGCCGGTTCAAAGATCGAAGTGGATGTAATCAAGGCTCAGTAAATAAAAGTTGAGTAAAATACACACAGGAGATTGAGAAATCAAATTTTAAATGAGGTGAATTGCAGCTGCCTACAGTCAAGCATTTAGCTGCGTCTCAGAAGACCAGACAACGTCAACGTGCATTAATGCCTAACAGAGCAAAAAAGTAGGTTTATCTAACGGCTGTGATGACGGTTAAGTGTTTTGTTTGTCACAAAATGTTAAAATTCAGTTAATAAGCTGTGGTAATGTTGCTTGAGAGCAATCAATCACCCCCAAACTTTCACTGATTTAAAAGAAGTATACAATTTATCATCTGAGGCACATATTAATGAGAGTGAATAAATAAATTTGACTAAAAATCTAACGGATTTATGAAACTATAGGAAGCGCGTTCAGTCGCAAAGCTCATTCTTCCCCATTGTGTAATACAGGAGGAAAAGCAGGAAAAAATACGATCTTGTTCAGGTTAAACGTTCATAAATGCAAATTTCGATGGATCTAGAGGACTTCAGCCATAAGCCTTGTGCATCAGGCAGTGACGTGGTCATTCTCGCAAGCTCTGACGTGGCAACATCGAAACACCATCCGCCCTGTTATTTGCTGGGGCAGATGGTGTTTCATCCTTCCACCCGTTTCTTTGCTTGCTGTACCAAAGCTCAGTTGGTTCAACGCGCTAATCAAGAGAATTAGCAAATACTAAAACTTGGTACAGTCCAAAAATTAGTAATGCAAAAATTTTAACCCTGTGGAATGTAAATTCTCATTTTAAAGTTCACTCCTATTAACTACTGGTCCCAGATTTCATGAAAGAACAGATGTGTGTGCCAGTTCAACGATCGAATGCACACATTTTATCTGAAAACAAGAGAACTAATGAAGGGATCCTTCATCCATCAGGATTAATGGTAAGTATGTCTCCTCAATTCAACCATTGCTCTTAGCTGTGAGAGGTTGCATTCGGATTTCAATGCCAGTGCCTCTGTGATCAAGAGGGCGGATGGAGTGCTTTTACCAAGAAATCTGATCCTCAGAAACTCAATTTCTGCATCGACAATTTTTCGTATCATCTGCTGGAACGTACGAACGTTGAATGGTGAGAGAAAACTGAATGACGTCACTCGTACCGCATTATGATGCTCTCAGCGAGGATAGAGTTGTAGTTCTGCTGCCCCCCGCCCCCTATTTTGTATCAGTATGGTTATCCGTCAAATACGCGAGCGCCGTGTCATCGTTTGCCGATGCGCAACAAGACAGGTCCAGATTAACTTCGTCGCCGCTTATGCCCATATGCCCATACTGACGTTGCAAAGAACCTGAAGGAGGACACGTTCTTCGCCTGTCATTCTCGCGACATATATGCAAACGTCACCCGCGACCTGGTAGGCGTCATTAACGACTCTTGACTCCACCATAAGGTCGACGTGGCAGTGGTGTTGCCGATAGCAACTGCCACCGCCTGTTAGACCTCTGCGCCACATACCTCCTCGTCGTAGGCGGGACTCCATCTCAACACCGTCGCATAGTTCAACAGAGGTGAACGGCGTCAGCTGATCATTTCAGAGGCAAAATCGATCACGCACTGATTAACGAGAAATGACGCAGTGTTCCTCAAGACAGTCTGGCGAAACGAGTTCCGGATCTCGGAACTGACCACTTGTTAGTGGTCGCCACGCACCAACATTCGTCTGGCAACAACCGGAGGAACATTTAGGAAACAGAGGCATCCCGTTCAATACGCAGAGGTTGAAGGGCGCGTTCCAGATGAAAAAAAGCAACAAATTCGCTGCCATGAAGGATGAACGACGCGGTCTCCCATGGACCAGAGCTGCTTCATAACCGCTTTAAAGAAGATGTCGTCATGGCCGCTGCCAAGACCATTGGCTTCAGCAGCGAGAAGACTAAGCAGCTGTGCTCCACGACGGAAACTTTATGCCTTAATCAGACCAGAAGTGTGGCGAAACAGGCGTGATTACGTGATCCTGACAAGAAGAAGAAAAGAGCGTATCACTTTCGCATGAAAACAGTCAACAGGAACTACCACAAGAGCAAGCATTGATGACTGGGCCTCAAAACATTGAACTTGCAAAAGGCAGCGACAAAAGGGATTTGTGACGCTGTACAGCCAGGTGGATGCCATCTCCAAGGATAAAACAAACGCATACCACCGGATTGTAGACTACACATCCAAGTAGATGCTGCAACACCCTGGTGACCGTTGGGAACGATCAACTGAGTAACTTGCATCATGCCTCAACAGGCCTGGTCCTCCTGTAAATATCCAAATGGCAGAAGAAGTTAAAAAATCTAAATCTTCACTGCTTAGCACCATCGACAGAAGAAATTCGACTGCGATACAACTCATTCTGTGACATAACGGGACTGGGAAGAAAATTCTGAAGTGCAATTCTGCACTGAATCCTTCTGGCTTTTGACCGCATCTACAGTAAGTCAGCCATCCACAGAAACAGGGAATGGGCGCGATAATCCTGACCTTCAAGAGTGGGAGTCACACCCACTGTACCAACGAGCGAAGAATGGCTCTCCAGTCGGTGCTGATTAAAGGTTTCACGTTAATCATTCTTGGACGACAAAGGAATCCATCGATCATCTACTGTGAATTAACCAAACAGGGGTTCGAAGTGGTGGTCACTCATCCATGGACTACATCTCCGTGCTGGAGCGAATCAGCAGCCGCCTCCAACTTCCCGGGGCAGACGACATTTCTGGACTTCCGAGAAGCCATCGATTTGGTAAATAGCCAGACAAAGTGGCGTGTTATTGGCCATTGAGGGACTTCTCGAGCGATGGCAAGTCTGATTGAATGACTGTATGAGGGAACTAAATGCGCCGTCTGAGCTGAAGGGTCATTTCTGAGGCTGATTCAACATTATCAGTGGAGTTCGTCAAAGCGAGCGGTACTCTTCTTTGTTATTCTACGTCATGGCGAGTACGTTATGCGAAAGTGCGTCAACACAAATAGCAATAAGGAACCGATCGTTAGGCAGTGATGCAGCTCGTGACACCGGCGGTATTCCTAACGGACCTTGAGTATGCCGAGGACGTC